CCCGCGGGGAGCGGGGGGGGGATCTGCGAGTCCGGCGTTGACCCGCCGAGAAAAACATCACAAGTCCCGGTTCACCCTGAGATAGAATAGATTTATTAGCAAGAGGTAATCAGGAAACATATATTTTTACAAAAAATGGAAATATTTTTCCAAACAAGCTGTAAGTTGAAATAGTTTTAGGGCTTGAAAGAGAATTCTCATACCACGAGGTATTGCTTACAGCAAAAGTGTTCTGGTTGTTAGAGTGGAGCATGCCTGCCACTGTAAAGTTAAACTGTGTTTATATACTGTACAATGTAAAAAATACATGGTAATATTCACAGAATAAGCACTACATTACTATATTCCTGCTAGAAGGTGGTTAGACAGGATTACAGTATATGTAATAAAAACACTCGGTCATCTTTTTCTAATTCTACATCATGTTACTCATAGTGGTCACAAGGTATACGGATCTATAGCATATCAACAGAAGCTTGTCATGAGCCGTATGCAGCGAGGAGAGTCAAAGGGACGTTTCCATCTTCCCGACTTAGCAGGGACCGGGGGCAACGGCCAAGAGGCCTCCCCGGCGCCGGGCCAGCGCGGGGGGGTGGCACGCAGAGAGAGGGCCGCTTCGCACGGAGGGATAAACTTTAACGTGTTCTCCTCCCCCGCCTTACAGAGTTTGCCCAGGGATGTTACTGCCGATACCGTCTGAGCAAGAGCTGCTCCGTGCTGCCCAAGAGCCCCGTGGGAACACACGGGTTCACCTGCCCGACCGCCAGCCCCCTCGAGAAGAACAAATGACAAAAATAACATCATTGAAAAGAAACCGGGACTCCAGCAAAGTGTCAATGCGTGAAACCTTAAACGATGCAGGAAATCCTACGCGAGGTCTACTGCGGCCTAAGAACGAGGGGGGCGGTTTGCTTGGAGAAGCACATACGTGGAAGTCACTCCAGAGCGTCCAACAGAAACAAACAGATATATACAGTATGGTATAGCGTGTGTACACGAGCAGCCGCCGGCCACTGCTCTGGGCTCAAGAAGGCAGTTTGGGCTCTATTCGCAGAGAAGCTTCATAAAGGGTTTCTTCGTCCATCACAAATGACTGGTCCAGCAGGTACTGCGTCACCTGGAAAAATGAGAGCCAAACCATTAACAGGGAGGACTCACCTCTGCTGCAGCTGACGATAAATGCCGAAATTAGGAAATGATAAAGGCCTGAGCAGTAAACAATGAGTCGCAGAGAAGTGCCTGCAGTTCCTGCCAACCGGCGTTGCACGTGCTTATCTCATCCCAGGATTGCAAAGTCTTGCCTAGTCCTCAGCTGCTCTTCTGTTTTTCTTGCTTAAGTTTTCCTCTCTGGTACTATTTTATCAGCCACAAAGTTCTCTCCTGTTGAGAACACAAAATCCTGATAATTAAGGCACCGCGTAAGTGGGGAACAACATTCTTGCTGCAGGAATGCTGCTGACAGGGCAGGACATCTGCTCTGGTGCTAGCAGAAAATCTGCTCGCAATTCCTGGAAGATTTTTCCCAAATTACTTTTTGGCCTCATTAGCCATGCGGTGTGCGCAGCTGATCCCAAAGAGGGGCACAACCATGCCGGGGCAAGGCGCCACATCTTGGGTTCGGAGCCGGCCGGTGTGAGGAGCAGCCGGCAGCAGAGCCTCTGCCCGGGAAGTGCCAGCAGTGCAGAGGGGGCTTCATCCCATCACCCACAAGACCCTCCAGGAGCTTCTGTGCGGCTGTATCCCACCTCTGCAGGGAGACAGGGCGATGTGCAGCCATGCACGGCACCACCTGCACTACCCTTCCCTGCTGCACTTGGCATTGGCTGTTTTCAGCTGGGTTTCCCAGAGCTTTCGCAGACGCTGATCTTCTTCCTCAGCAGGAGAGGCTGGGAGGAGGCAGGGGTTACCTGGGGTGCCCAGTTGGGAAAAGGCTGCAGCATGAGCCCAGCCCCGGGCAGGTACCGACAGTGCGGAGGGTAGGGCGGGGGCTGCCCAGCACTGCAGAGGCTAAAATCAGAGCCTGTGGCCCCGTGACCTCCGCCAGCCCGGCCAGGAGTTGCAGTCCAGAGGGACTCGGGCTACTCCTGCCACCGCACACGGAAACTGGTGTCATCAGCTCGGAGGGCGGTTTGGCCCGGCCCGATTGCCAACAACACAGCAGCCAGGGCACTGGGCAGGTTCGGCAGATGCCTGCAGGGCAGCAGCACTGTTTCAGGAGGGTTTGCTGTTTCTGGAGAACAGCAATGCCAGCGACAGCGGAAACCCCTACAACAACCAGCCCAGTTCCTGGGTGGCTCTGCAGTGCTGTGGCAGAGGAAGTGCAAGGGCGGCTGAGACCTTTCATCTCATCACATGTGTGGGGGCCACCACGAGGCTGAGGCCACCCAGCACCAGGCTGCGGGGGGCAGTGGGACATGTTCTGCTCCCAGCCTGCACCCCCAGCCTGGGGAGAGGGATGCTGCTATTTCTCAGCATCTCCAGGGTGGGCTCTGCCAGTGCCGGGATAACTCAGCTGTGCGCAGGCCCACGGGAGCGGCCCACGGGAGCAACCCACGGGGGGGCCTGGGGGGACGCAGAGTCTGGCCCTGCTCTGTGCAAAGCCTGCTGCAGGGAAAGGGGGGCACTGAGGGAGGGGCAGCCTCTGCGCCATGGCCCAGCTGTGCATGCAAGGAGCAGTGCATACATTTTATAAACACACAGAGCAGCCCCAGGAGCACTCTGGCCATCTGCCATGCTGCCCTCCCTGCCCGACGGCTGTCACATCCAGGCATAGCTGCTGTCTACAGCAATGCCTCCACTGCAGTATCCTGGGGGAGGCACGGGGAAGCCTGCTGCGGCCCCTGCAGCTGCCCTCTGTCCCCTGCACCACTGCCGACAGCCTCCAGCAAGGCACAGGCACTGCTCCTGGCGCAGAGGCACCAGCCATGCTCCTGCTGCAGCGGATGGGCAGCAAAGGGCAAGGGAGCACAGGGCACGAGGGCAGCGGCCCCAGGAGCCACTGACACTTGTTACTCATTCCTGTGGAAGGGCCCCATGGATGGGAAAAGGTACAGCTTCTTGCTCCACCTCCAGGTAAAACACGAGCTCCAGCTGAGTTCAAGACCCACGCTCTTGCAGCACACAGGTCTCTGCCTCAGCCACCACTTGCCCGAAAGCAGCTCACAGCGGAGGACGGCTCCATCCCCAAGGCCCACCCGCTCCCCGGGAGCCCTTCCAGGCTGCTCCCTTGCCACGCTGCCCAACCACAGCCACGCTCCAGCCCCAACTCGGCAAGACCGTGCAGGGCTGCTGACCCTTGTGCCCACGATCGCGGCAGCTTGCAGAAAGAACCAGAGGGAAAGGGCAGTCCTGTTTGCTGGGAAGAAATGGCAGCAAAGCTAGGGACAGGCCCGGAAAGCGCTGGCTTGTTCTGGCCAAGGCTCGGATGGCGGGAAGCCACATCCTTTTGCTCTGCCAGCAATACTGCATGGGCGATGAGCTCCTTACGGTTTGCGTGGCAGGGCACACACACGCCGAGAGGAGCAGGGAGGTCACTACATGTCTCCTGTGCCTGCTCCCCCTCCATTATGCCTCACTTGACACAAGCCCCCACACCTGTACTGGTTCTGCTAGCGTTTTCTGTCTTAAATTTCTTACAGAAGCATCGTATCTTCCCCAAAGGAGCTGCCAGAAATTGAGGCTTAGACGCTGTGATTTGAGAGGGAGATGAGGAGGAGAGGGAATGTGTTGCTCTTGGGACAAGGCTGTACCTTAGGCTGGTGCTCAATCTTGTAGGAGGTTTGCTGGAACTGGCGGATCTCCCTTATGATGTGCGAAATCTGTCCGGAGATAAAACACAGAAGCTGTTTACAGCACAGCCATCACCACCAGCACTGCGTCCCAGCACCTGGGATGGCGACGGGCAGCCAGTGGAGCTCACTTCACCCGCACCTTTTAACCACAGCACGATGCAAAGGGCTTTTTTGTTTCTTCCAGACACATCCCTCACCAGGGCAACCCCGGCTGTGTGTGTGCGTGCAGGGGGACATGTGTGGCTGCCTGGTGCTGAGTGGATGACGGCCAGCTGTGGGGACTGCGTGGCGTGGGCACAGACCTGGGCAGCACCGCGGCACCGAGCCACATCGCTCCAACCCAGCCCCTGCACGCCCACCGCAGTGGGGCTGGGGGACTCACCATCCTCATTTTGGAGAAGTTCACCAGGCCGTCCTCAGTGTAATTCGGGGTCCCCTCCTCAATGAACGCCAGGTCAGTCAGGTACATTCCCAGGTAGGGGACGCACGGAGGGTCACAACTTCGGGAGTAAACCAGAAACAAATAAGAAAGAAAACTGCCTTACTCTGGAGCTTTGGAGCAGGGAGGAGGGTTGGACTCCAGAGTTAGCAGAATTTGAAGGATTCTAATATACAGAAACCCTAGAAGGAAGCCTCTCCCCGGGAAGGCTGCTGGTCTCCTGGGCCGCATCCTGCAGCCACTGTCCCCGCAGGCAGGGCAGGACAAGCACGAGCTGTGGCTGTGCCCCGCACGAAGCTGCGGGCTGCAGGAGGTGAGTTGGGGACAGCTTCGGCAGAGGGTTGGAAAGACCTTTTGAAGCTTCCCCTGCCTTCCTTGGCCCCCCCAGCCAGCAAAACCCCCGCCAAGAGCTGAGGGCAGTGCAAGCGCTGGGCTTGCCCCCTGCCCTTCACCTCACCCCCCAGCCCAGTCCCCCACAGAAGATCACCATGCACTGCTGATGGGACACGGCCCACAGGTGTCTGCCATGCACAGTGATGCACAAGCCCGTGGGGATGCACCAGCTCCAGGGCAGCTCAGCACCCCGCTCCCCATGCACCCACAGCACCGGGCTCCTCGGCTGCAGGACGGAGCGAACACCAAGTAATGACAATTTGGGGAGCCTGAGCGCTGGCAGAGAAGCCTGATGCCATCTCTGGTAGGGTGTGGGGCTGGCTGCTGTTGCAGCACTGCCAGCTCTCTGCTGTGCAATGCTCTCACCCAGGAACCACCCTGGTGTGCTGCCAATAAGGTCCACGCTAGCTGGAGTGACATGCACTGGCTGGTGGGAAACCGTAGCTAAATATGGTACACTGTGGGGTTTAAACTATGAGTCTGTAAGGGGAGGGGGGAAAAAAAAATACCGGTGTCTGGCAATGATTTGCACCTTTGCAATCCCTTTTATTCGTGTCTTTCCACACTGCTGCTCAAAGGAGCAGCTCATTACTCGGGATCACTTTGCAAGCCGCTGCCCTGTGCCTGCTAAACAAGACGCACATTAGCGCAGGGTCTGAAATGATCTTGTGAGCAAAGCCCCAGCCTGCAGCGCGGGAGCCTGGGTGGGATCTAGGTCCCCTGCCACCGCGGGGGCCCTGGGCCGGCCGTCAGCAGCTCCCTCACAGCAGCAGCCACAGGAGGAGAATTGTTGTTCACTCACTTTTTCAGTGCCTCCCTCAGGTTCTTAAACCTGCCCTCCGACGACACCAGCTTTTGTAGCTTATCGATCAGAGCCTTCGTCTGCAAGAAACCCAAAGTGTCACCTGGAGAAGGCCCTGGAAGAAACCCCCATCCCCGTGGCTGGAGGCAGTGAAGCCTGAGGAGCCGCAGGGTCGCTCCCATCCTGCCCTGCCCACAGCAGCCACCGAGGCACGTCAGCCCCGTCCGGCTGCTCGACACCTTTGCAGGTACAAATTCTGCCCTGGTGATTACACCCGGCTCCCAGTGACATCCAGAGGAGCTGAGCAAGCACTTGAAAGCAAAGTTCCTCCAACACATAATAAAGACAGGTTATGTACTTGTTTCCTTCCCCTGCCTCCCACCTTTGCCTTCGTCAGTGCCTGTTTTAATTTACAGGTTTATCACTTTGCAGGAAAAAAGACGGTGTTTCAGATTCAGAGGAGCCCACACAGCGGTTCTGGCTCAGCAGCCTCTGAACTCTGTCAGGGTCTGTACCATGCAGGTACAAGCTATTTCTGTACCAAGTAACTCAACACAAGAATTCATTTTACTCGTGCATAATTGGTCTGAGAAGCCCAGAAAACCAGTTTAAAGAAGCATCTGTGTGTGTGTGCACACAGCTACAATGACTCTTTAGAAAAGGTTTCTTTAGCTGCACATCTGACCTGTAGGATGAATAAACCCAACAGCAACACAGGGTCTGAGCTGCTTGCACTCCACCTCCCTCCTGGGAAAGACCTACAAAAACCTTACTCCATTTTCTAACTGTTTTTTCAGTACGTCTCATGTCATCCCAACACCATCACACCCAGCCCATCAAACCCTCCCCTGCCTCCCCAGAAGAGGGTCAGCCCCATGCCCCTACCTGCTTGGAGACCTTGAGCCAGGTTTTCTTCAGGCGGAAGATGGCACTGCGGTTGAGGGAGGAGGTGATCTCCAGCACCGCGTTGTAGTTGTGCAGGCACCTGCAGATGTCCGCCACCGCCACCCACTTCTCGATGGCGCTCACCCGCGCGTTGATCTCCTCATTCCGGAGGATCTCTGACGCTATCAAGTTACTGACCTTTGGGGAGACATCGGTTCCAGCCTGCACGTCAGGAGGACTTTGGACAACAGCTATGTGCCCTCCAGCCTCGCAGCATTTTTTAAAAAGATTTCCCTTCACTGCAGTAGCCCCAGAAGGAGCAATTGCACCAGGAGATGGACCTGCAATGGGTCCCCAAGGCACATAACATCCATGGAACACGGGTGGGGGCAGATAAAGCTCGTACATCCCAGTCCCTGGCTAAGGCCGGGGGCAGGTTGGCTGCGCTGCCTCGCCTCTGCCTGTCTCCCCATCCCCTGCCATGGCTGCACTTACGTCATTAAAGTGTTTTGTGTTCTTCATGATGTAAGGAGTCCTTTCGTTCTTCTCAAGTTTCATCCAACCTTGCCCAAAGAACTCTCTGCAAATGACAACTTTCAGATCAACATTTATTTCCCGGTTTTGTGGGACACCCAAGCCCTACAAGCTCCACTGCACCCACACGGGATGGAAGCGCCAGGGCTTTTGCCCCCCCACACTGCCAGAAAGGGACCGCATGGATGGGCTTGAAAGTGCCATGGAGGTGGGAGGCTCTCCCTGAGCCGCTAACCCTGTGGACATCAGCAGATAAGCCACAAATCGAGACCTCAAATCTGGGCTCGAGCCCAGCCTGGGCTACCTGCAAAGCAGGCGGCAGCTGGGAAGGGTTTAGCCTGGGAGGGGGAGCAGGTGGCCACAGAGTCCAGGACGACCAGAACAGCCCTTCCTCACTCGTGGGGATCACTCACTCATACGGGATCTTCTTGAAGACCAGGTGATCCAGCAGCGTCAGCTGTTCTGCAATTTCCAGGGCTGAGTGGTTTTCAAAAGGTTCTGCTTTGACTCCCTCAGCCTGAGCGACAAAGGCAACAACGAGGGCTCGCTGGTTAAGAGCATAGTAAGAACTTCTGCATTTCATGCACATAAAATCAAAGCCGAAGTCGGACTCCCAAGCCAAAGGCTTTTCCCCATCGGAGCCGGCGTGCACGGTGCCACGCTGGTCTGATGGTCCAGAGGCTCCGCACTGCATCCTGCAGCCCACCAGCGCTGAGAAGTGCCGGCTTCACACAGACCTGCGAACCTGCTGGTTTTAATTACGTTATCATCTGAGCACATGTACAGACACAAAATTAACTAATCTTCTCTATTTAAGTAATTAGGTGTCAGCTATGGAATGGATCCCCACATGTCAACTTCTGCAACCGCTGCCTTTTTGCTCTACATCTGTTTAATTAATAAAGCACTAGGGGATCCCAGCTGGAGCGGTGCTGCCGAGCTGCTGCCTCGTGCCTGGCTACCCCTGCCTGGCAGCTCGGCCAGCCTCGCCGGCACCTCTCCACCAGCACCTGTGGGGTCGGCAGCTCCTGGACCCTGCTGCTGCTTGGGACAGCTCTTCTAAGGGATGTCGAAAAAAGCAGGGGAACGGGGATGGCCCCTGTCTCTGCTGCCTGGTTTTGGCCAAGTGGCGCTTGCAGGCATGGGGGAACTCGGGGTGCCCCGTGCTTGGAGCCACCCGGGCTGATGGCAAGAGCCTCCAGCCCCAGACCTGCATGGAGCGTGCATGGACTTTGCTGTGCTTTGGCACAAACACAGTCTGAACTCAGGGTTTTCCCAGCAGGGAATGGTCTAAAAACCTGCCACAGCATCCCGCCTCCTGGAAACGAGCAGCAACGTCTCTCCTGTCCGGGTCCCAGGAGAGGGGATGTAGCAGCTCCCAGCACAGGGGGGTGCATAGGAAAGAGGGGCCAGGCTGGCATCGTGCCGGGATGGAGCAGCATGATTGGGAACCATGGGCTGCTCTGGGGCTGTGAGGGCCGAGGTGCAAAGCAGAGAGTGCATGGGGCGGCAGGCACAGGGTGGGTGCTGCTTCCAGTCCAGCCAGTTACTCCCACAGACAGCCTGGACCCTCCTCACTGCCCTCCCCAGCACCTCCTGGAAGCAAACAGCAAATGGCATGTCCCTGTCCCTGCTTTGCTCAGGGATGATGCACTGAAACACGAGCTGCTGTGTTGCAGTGTCCCCTGGCCAGAGCCAGTGGTGCACGGGGACAGTGGTGCAAGGGGACCACACTGCGGGGTGGCTGGGGGTGCAGGACATGCAGACGATGCCGTGGGTCAGCTGAGCCCCCTGCTCTGGGGTGCTGCTTCGCCCTGAGAAGAGGCATCACCTCCCTCAGCACCCTCTGCAAAGCAGTGGTTTCGGAAAAGCAGAATGGCTCCAGGAACCCACGGGTGAGCTGGCCCCAGGAACTGTTCCAGCCAGCACGAGTTAACAGCCTGTTGCAAAATCCCCTCCTGGCCACGGGAAAGGGGTTTCGAAAGCGGCTCCCAGGGAGCAAACACCAGCTGAGCTTCCTCTGCGGCAGCTGAAGGGCCCATGGAGAGGCTGCGGGGGGGTGGGTGCACACTGGGGGGGTGCAGGCTGCAGGGGGGTGGGTGCACACTGTGGGTGGGTGCAGGCCGTGGGGGCACACCCTGCCAGAGCACGGGGTGCTGCTGACAGCAAACACTGCATGGGCAAGTGGCACTGGTGGCACTCAGCAGCACCAGTGCCATGCAGGAGGGCTCTGAGCACACTGGAGGAGGGCCCCCCTGGCCAAGGGTTCAGCACACGGCACAATGCACACCCCCAGCTCAGGAGGAGGGGGCCGGGGAAACCACAACCCCTATCACCCCAATGTGCGCTCCAAAACCCAGGGCTCCCTCGTGTCCCCACCGCGCCTCTGACGGCAGGTCGCTGCTGCTCAGCTGCTCAGATTGAGGGGCAGACCGAAACCCTCTGGTTTCGTTTGTCTTCTCTTCTTCAAAGGAAGTTTCCAGCACCTGTGGTTGCAGACAAAAGCTTAAAAAAAACAACCAAGAGGGCTCAACCACTCCAGAAGCTGTCCGGCAGACACAGGGGACAGAGCCATTGTTGTTTCAGGTGCACCAGGCCAATTTAAAGTGGCTCTTGGGTTTTTCTGGGAGCAGACTTTGGTTTTTTTAATGCAGGAAGGTGGCAAATGCACTGCAGCCACCCTGACAGTTTTAAATCCATTGCACATTCCCAGGGCTCTGCTCCTGGAGGAGCAGTGCCGATGCCAGCTGCACCAGCGCCCGTGAATTGGAACCAGCGCACAGCGGCACTGGCGCAGGTTTGGGGACACAGAGGACATGGTGGAAACCCATGGGGTTTTCCTGTGTCCCTTGGGCAGGCACTGGCAGCAGTGGGCAGGCACGTCTCCATGCCCACTCCAGCTGTCCTGCCAACTGTGCAGGAGGACTAAACAGCCAGCGGGCTGGATTAGTGTTGCCTCTGCCTGTAACAGATCCAGCTGTGCTCACAGCTGGCCTTGTCCTCAGAAAACCTTTCCCTGCTTTGTAGCTGTACGCCCGGACAGAGGGCTTGGAGAACCGCTCTCCACAGAGCTGGGTGCGCCAGAGTGCGGGGATCTTTAGCTGTTCCCCTACCACCACGCCGAGCTGCCAGGCAGAGTGATGAAGGGAAAGGGTATTTACCATCTGTACGACCTCCTCCAGGGTTATCTGATTGTCTCCTGGATCCTCCTGCGTCAAGGTCCTACGGCATGAAAACACAGCATTACTTTAGCTGGGAAAGCATCAGACTTGCACGCCTCCAACAGGGCTGCAGCAGGACTTTGTGGTTTTTCACAGATTAAACACTCGGCGTGCATAAGAACACTTCTAAGTCCCATTTCCTGTTTTAAAGAGGAAAAAAAACCCTTAACTGAGACCACAGCCCCATGGGTCCTGATGTGCCAGGGAGACGTATGCACCACCCAGCACCGCCCATCCTCCTCCTCGGCTCCTCCCGCGCCCCAGGCCCTGGCCACGGGCACAACCCCTCCTGGAGACCTCGTGCCTGCTCTTATCCCAGGTGAGAGCGGGAAGCGGCCAAAAGCCTGGCACAGCATCCAGGAAAAGCAACCTCCCACCCACGGCCCTTCACCTTATGATGTTGGCGGCTGCTTTCCTCTCCTGGGTCAGGAGCTCAGGATCATGAATAACCTCCTCCAAAAAGCCGATCACTCTGAACTTCAGCTCCTCATTGGTTTCAAAGTCCTGCCAAAGCCGGCACGGTCACAGTGTTAATGTGCTATAACGTGAGTAACGTTGATTCCCAGCAGCTCCACTCCCTGCCCATTTAAACCTGGCCAAGACCGATGGCCCTGCGGTGCCAGTGCAGGCGGCTGCTCAGGGGAGCGCAGAGGCTGCCCCTCCCCGGCAAAATCCCAGCCCGCAGCGCCCAGCAAACGGGAACCGGCCAGGAAGGCACCCGGCTCATTCTGTACCATTGCATTGGCATCAACCGGCCTGGGAGAGGCGTGGGGGCTTCCCAGTACCAATCAGTATGGCACCGCTCCCAGTGCCCCCAGCAACCGGTGGCAGAGGGAAATGGACAGCAAGGAAAGCCATGCGGTTTCCTAACCCAGACCCCAGCCTGAAACCCCTAACAGGAATCAAACCCAGCTACTCCTTCTACCCAGCTACTACTACTTCCACCGAGCCCAGCTGGGGGGATGACCGCGGATCCTGGCTCCCCTCCTTCGCACACCGAATATACAAACACTGCAATCCACGCCTGGCCCCCCGCTCTGCGCCAGGGGCTCCCAGGTCCCCTGCTTCACAGTTTTCATCTCCTCCCCATGTCACTCATTTGCTTAATTAAAAAAGAAGTGCCAAATTGTCTTTCCAGCTGGAGCCTGGCTGAGCCACCCGGCATACAGCTGAATTCACGCCGGCAGGGAGGGAGGACCCCCGTGGTGCCCACACCCTGACCGGCCCCCGCCACCCACCTGCGAGTGTTTGGAGACCCAGTGACGCAGCACATTGAGGACCCGGTTGGTGGCTGCTCTCCGGATCACGAATTCCTTGTCTCCGTTCCGCTGGTCCGTTGGAAAGCCTGAAACTGCCAACGACCCCTTAGCACAGCTACAGCTCCGTCGGGAATCATTTACGGATATTTTCAGGACTGCTAGAAGGAGCAGCCCCATCTTCCCAAGCATCCCTAAGCTGCCTCTTAAATGCACGCGCTGGGGAGGCTCCGTGTTACAAGGCAGCGGGGTGCTCAGCCGCGGGTGCGAAGGGTTCAGCTGCCTGCAACCTGCACATTCCTCGGGCAGCCCCCGTGCCCAGGCACCCCGGGAACCACAGCCCCGAGTGGGCGGGCGCTGGGCTGTGGGTCCTCTGGGCACCCCCAGCGGGGGCTGCCTCCCAGCCAGGGTGCTCCTGGAGGGCAACCCAGCCAAGTACGGTGGAAACGGGCACCCTGAAAACACATCCCCGCCCTCTCGGCAGCCCGGGGCAGGGTACCTGCGCTGGCGAGGGACATCCTGCGGTACTTCTCCTTGGTGGGGGTCCCCTCATTGGCTCCCGCCGTGGCAATGGCGAATGCAGAGGCAGCCGACAGGGCGCTGCGTGTGCTGTCGAGCTCCCGGCAGGACGTCATGACCACGCCGTTGTTGTAAGAAAACAACGAGAAATCTGGGGGGAGAAGAAAGCCAACACCACCCTGGCTGCTGCCACAGCTCCAGCCAGGTCCCCTCCCACAGCCCTGGACCCCCTCGCCAGCCCCCCCAGCACACGCGCAGCCCCCCCAGGTTGGGGCACGCCAGGAACGGGGCTCATGGAGGTGGTAGGTGCAGATGGCCAACACAGGGCGATTCCCCACAGGGAGCTGGCTTCCACCCTGCCGGGGCTGGGGCAAAGGAGATGGGCAGCTTTGGGTGCCACCACGCCATAAGAATTTATCCAGCACAGCTTTAGCAGGAATTAAGCCAACGGGGTGCTACAGACAGTGTTAAGATAGCTACAGGGGAGACTCGAGCAGATAAATCAATGCTTGATGCCAGTCCAGGCTCACATCTTGAGCAGCATAATTTGCTCCTAACGTGCCAGATCAGCCCTGGGAGGGGAGAAAAGGGGTGACGAGACCCGGTAAGATGCGCAGACCAGGTCAGCGATACGGGCCAGAGGGTTCAGCATTTCCCTGTCCACTTGCAGGAAAATAAAGGGTAAAGTCCTGCTCCTTCTCACATCTGCTTCAGTTTTACGTCTGCACCTTTAGCAGCTCTGCATGGCCAGGTTCAAGGGCAGTGCGCAGCCCTGAGCAACCCCCAGGCGGGACAGGTCTTGGCCCACTTGTTACCTGATGAATTTTTGCACTTGATGGACTTAGGAGTTGTTGGAGATTTTGTTGGGGAAGTTTCAGCTTCTGCTTCGTCGCTCTGGTTGGGATCCGTGTCCGACTCTTCCCTGACAGATACCTCTGAGCCTGGGAGGAACAGTGAACCCAGTTACCATCACTGCTGGACATGTGCACGTTGCAGCCACATTTTAGCTCTTCCAGATTTTCCTAAAGTCTGAAGCATTCCAGCTGGGCACACAGCAACCAAGTACAGGAAAGGTACAGAGTCCCGCAATTACTTTGGGGGTTTTTTGGGGTGGGGGTTTTTTTTGGGGGTGGGGGTTTTTTAGGTTTTTTTGTTTGTTTTGTTATTACAACTTACTCAGCTTTCAGGTAGCACACAACCCACAGGAGGCAGGAGCTCTCTGTGCTGTCCATGGTGCATGTATTGCCAGCTCGGAGGCTCTGCCCAGGGCTGGCGACGGCGAGACGGACCATGGGCAAGCTCCAGCCCATGCACCCTGCACACAGCGATGGGGTGGGATGCGGTACCTCCCTCCCAGGGTGCAGGTGCTGGGAAATCACCCAGCAAAGGGCTGCGGGAGGAGCTGGGGCAGCCTGTCCCCCCGCCTCCGGCTGGGCTGTTCTCTGCCCTCGCATACAGCTACCCCACAGACTGGCTTCGCCCCTCTCAGAGCCCCTGCTTGTGCACCAGGGCACAGAAGGTACTCACACAACCCGCAGTGAGAGAGAGGATAACGTCGAGGTGGAAACAGGGAGGCTGCAGCCTGTTCCCATTTTCATTAAAGACAAGGAAACTGCTAGCAGTGCCGGAGTCGTGCACACAGCGTTGCTTGCACAGGGGTCCGGCCCCAAGGCAGCTGCCCCACAGCCAGCAGGTCCCAGCTCAGGGTGCTGAGCGTGATTCCGGTGCAGATGGGGCAGTGTCCTGGTTTCAGCTGGGATAGAATTAATTTCCTTCCTAGTAGCGGGTACAGTGCTGTGTTTTGGATTTGGGATGAGAACAATGTTGATAACACACCGATGTTTTAGTTGTTGCTAAGCAGTGCTTACACTAGTGAAGGACTTTTCAGCTTCCCATGCTCTACCGACTGAGCAGGCTGGAGGTGCACAAGAAGCTGGGAGGGGGCACAGC